ATGCTCACTTTTGAAAGGTAGAAATTATAGTGTATAAGAAAATTCATTTTCCTAAAAGAATCTATTAGCAGTTTTTAAATCTGTCCCATGTGCTTCCATTGCCTCAATAAAATAGGCAATTGCTTTTTTAAGAAAGAAATTAAGACTAATGTTTATACTGAGTTTCTCTTTCCTAGGGAAAAGGAACAGAAAGAAAGAGAAAATCCTGGACGCATACTTATATGCATCAAGCCTTTATTCTGGGCTTCAAGAAAGCGGCTTCTCCTCCAGCTGGCATTGTCTGCCCTCCAGAGCTGCTCATTTGCCGTATACTGTTTCCTGCTTCTCTCTCAGCAATTTCATAAGGCACAAAGTTCCTGTTAAATCTGCCCTCCCTCACATAAAAATGAAACCCAAATCAAAATTTCATCTCTTTCCAAAGAGGGTTTGGGGAGTAGAGAATAAGTTATTTTTGGCAATAGCCCTTCCAGAATCTTCTGTGCATCTCACGCAAGGTTAATTATGGTAGAATGCAACAATGATCAATACCGCTGTTCCAACTGAGAAGAGGCAGTGTCAACAAGAGAGCTGGCAGTGAAGAGGAAGGTGCTTCTGAATGGAACATTGCTTTGCATAGTTCCATACAAATGTGCCCTCTGGTTCAGAGGGTGAAACACATATTGTACTCCAATTCCAGAGATGATTTCTCATTTAACTCTTGAATAATGAGATTTTAAACCCCACAGAGGTGTTGGTGATGCAAGCATCTGGCAAGGCTGATCATCTCTAATTTATGCAATGAGCTGACCAAGATCCTACCTTTTGCCCCTGCACATCTGTTGTGATGTGGTCGGTTTCCCCATCCTCAATCTCCCCCATCTTCACGACACTGACTTCTATGGTGCCAACCACTTTGCCACCATCTGAAGTTCTGCAATCAGAAATAAAGGAAATGAGATAGTAAGAATCTTCTCTCTCCTCAAAACATGTCCAAAACACGTTTGTTTCTGAAAACCACTAGCACTGCTGTTTGTTTCATTTAATTAAACAGTTCTGCATGACACTCAGCAAAACATGTTAATAGCATCTGTGTTTTTAATTTCAAATGAAAATTAACTATGGATTTGTGAGGTCAGACCATGAACTGTCAAAAAACTACCTCATAAAGATGAAACCTCCTCAAAGCTCTCAGGAGTAACCTCAAGGTAAAAAACACTGTGTCATGGGTCACTGGCAACCATCAAATCTCTATGATCCTGTAAACCACAGACCATCTATACCAACTGCCTTAGATACTGCACATGTCTATTGCATAAACTGTGGCTGCATAAAATGGAAAAGAGTACAAACATTCCTGTATTCCTTTATGACTGGGCCATTGGCTACAAAATCTGACTTTGTGCCCTTTCCCTAACATTTTTCTAAGAGATTAGGCAAAGACGACTCTCTCCTAGCAAACATAAGGTATGCAGGAAAGCAGACTATAACCTAGAGCTCGTTTAGTATAACCTTTTACTTTTTCAGATAAAGAAACTGAGACCCAAAAAGATGAAAAACATTTTCCAAGGTAACAAAGTGGCAAACCCAGGTTCCTATCTTTTTTGAGTCTTTTGACCACTGACAACTCTTCTCTATTTAATGATGATAATAACTTTATTGCTAAGATTTTCATCATTATTTTTATCAGCATAAAAATTTTATGGTTGGCAATAATAATGAAAGTTAAAAGTAAAATTAAGAACCATCACATTTTAAGATTCTCTAGTTGCCTTTTCTGGGCAAGGAAATCTAC